TCACTTCCAATTCTAAGCCTCTCAAAGGTAGGGACCGCAGCCACGTGTGGTGACCCACGTCTGTAACCTCAGTGACTCGGGAGTCTGCAGCAGGAGCTTCACAAGTTTGAGACCAGCCTGGACAACTTGGTGAGACCCTGTCTCAAAAACTAAAAAGGGCCGGGATGTGGCTGGGGTAGAGCACCCCGGGTTCAGTCTCCAGTACCATCAAAAATTAAAAAGGAAGGAACAAGGGGACTGCATGTAGAATCCTGAGGGTCCGCCCGTGCTGTGGGCTGTGTCTGAGAGCCCAGTGGTGACATCCTCCCGTGGTGCGAGCTGGACAGTCCTCACGTGTCGGCTGGCTCTCTGCCCACCCCGGGTCAGTTAGGGAGCAGAGACTCAGATGCTGTGGTTTCCCCAAGGTCACTCAGCCAATAGGAACCCCCATGCCGGCTGGTGACACAGGACCTCTGGGGCCGGCTCTCCTCTCTGGGCTCCGAGTCCTGTGGGACACCAGGAGGGGCCTGGTACGACCTTCCTCTCAAGCCACAGCCGGTCTTTGGCCTGGCTGTGGAGCCTGGCTGCTCTGGGGACAAGTGGGTGGGGGAGGGCTGGAAGTGAAGGCCACAGCCTTGTCCTGCTGCCTGCTCCAAGGACAGCCCAGCCTGGCTGGGAGACCAGTCGCTGATCTGTGGACCTAGGACAATGCAGGGGGCAGGAGGGAGAGGCTGGGAGGGAAAGTCCCTTTTTACCTGGAGCTGGATTGAGCCATGGAGGGTCAGTTCTCCTGGGATATTGCCCTGGGGCCTTCTGGCAGGACACTCTTGGCTTCCACAATGCATGGCACGGGCTCAGCCTCCAGAGGTGCTTGGCGAGTGTCTGCCACCTCAATGGAGGGGTGAGTGAGTGTGTGCATGGGTGTGGAAGAGCCAGGGCCTGGGCCTTGCTGTCTCAGGATTTTTCGGGGAGGGGTGGGATGCTGGGGGTTGACCCAGGGACGCTCCACTGCTGAGCTACCGCCCCAGGCCTTTCATTTTATTTTGAGACAGGGTCTCACCAAGTTGCCGAAGCTGGCTTCGAACTTGTGACCCTCCTGCCTAAGCCTCCTGAATCGGTGAGATTACGGGCCTGTGCCAGGGCGCCCGGCTTCCTCTCAGTACCGCTGTGCCCAGCGCACTGGGGTTGACACCTTGGCCCCGGCCACCTCAGAGCTGTGTGACCTTGTACAGATTGCTTCCCCTGTCTGGGCCCATTTCCTCATCTGTGAATGGGGCTAAAAATAGACACCCCCCCTGCAGAGCCTGCTATGCGGATGCACCCAGATGAGGGCCCCAGTGCACATGGGGTGTGGCCCAGAGGGGACACTTGGGAAATGCTCGCTGTTGGTATTAGTACCAAGGTGCACATTGCTATTTCTGAACTTCCCCCTCCCGCTGGTTGGGGGGCTCCTGGACACCCCCTGCAGCCAGTCAGGCAGAGAAAGGTGACAAAAGACAGGACCAAAGGCCCCAATTCCCTGTTCTTTTAATAAAAATAAAGATGGCCCGTAGACATCCCTCTCTTGCTCATTGTTCTGCCAAGGCAGGCTGCAGACCCATCCCTCCTTGGACTTGGGAAGTTCCTTCCTTTCTTTCCCGTCCCCTGTCACATTTCCTTTATCTAAATCCTCAGCTATGAAAGGGCATATCGACAGCTGGGGGCGTTATCTGGTGGAGGGGACCTTTTCCTCGGGTGTCTCTGAGATAAGGCGTCTTATCAGCCCCCGTGTCAGGGACGGTGCCAAAGCATTCTAATCATTGAGGCTTGCGACATTTTTCCTCCCTCCCTCTCACCCCCCTTTTTATTATTAAAGCCACAAAAGACCTTGAGCTTATAAACAGTCTGATTTGCAGATAGGATTTCAAAATGAGCAGCTCTCTGGATGGTCCCCAGCAAGGCTGGGGGAGTAATGAATCCATGTGGGGACACTGGGGGACTGGCAGTCTGCAGCTGGGATGTCCCCAGGCAGTGAGGGGGGTAGGGTGGGGGTCAAAAAGATCATGAGTGCTTTAAGCGCCCACCCACTCCTGTCCCTGACTTGCTGTGTGGCCTTGTACAGGAGACTTGGCTTCTCTGGGCCTCAGTTACTTCACGTGCAAATAATCAGTTCATTGATGGAGCCATTCAGTCGACACCTGTTTATTAAACGGTTACTCTCTGTCAGGTACAGGGGACAGAAAAACAAATAAGACACGCACAGTCCAGTAGCCAGAAACAGATGTGAAAATTGGCCATTACAACGGGGTGTGATTAGGGCTGTGGTGGGAGGACCCAGAAGAGGGGGCGAAGCCGAGCCAGGACCCAGAGAGGCAGATCTGAGCCAAGAGGGTCTTGGCGGCAGCACAGTCCACCCAGGGGCCACACAGGTGACTGTCTGGAGGCCTGGGGTGGCTAGCAGAGGCCAGGGAGACAGGTGGGCAGGCCTAGGGCCTTGCGTGCCCAGTGGAGACGGTCAGGCTGGGTTTGAGGCTCAGGAGAAGGTTCTGGCTTGTCTGGTTTGCAGGTGTCGGGATGCAGGTGTCCACTGGTGTTCCGTTGGGACTGCCCTGGAAAGGCCAGCTGAGGCCTCCTCCCAGAAATGCCCTCTGGCCCCTGAGCTCAGTCACCTGGTCCCTATCGCTCTCTGCACTGCCTGGACGTCCACTGCGGCAGCCCCCAGACAACCAGAGCCCCTGGGGTGTGGCCCTGGGACCCTAAGGGCCCCCGGGGGAGGCAGCCTGAGCATGCGGTGTGGTCCCTGCAGCACTGGGGCCAGGTCTGGAGAGGGACTGAGTTTCTGGCACCTGGTGAACAGCTGCAGGTAGAAAGAAAATGACCTGGGGGACCAGAGGGACCCTGGAGTGACTTCAACAAGCCACAGGGGGGCAGTAGCCCTCCTGGGGTTGCTGAAGGGCTGGGATGGAGGACACTCAGTTTCCAGCCCAGGTCCACGGCCAGCGCCTTCCTCCCCCGCCCAGCACTGCCCACCGTGGGCGGCAGCAGAGCCCGTGGTGAAGGGCAGGCTCCCCGGGGCTGCTCTGGGTGCCCTGGGCTGGGCATTGTCCCTCTCTGGTCTGCATTTCCCATTTGTTAGAAGGGCGAGTGCAGGCTGGCTTTCTCGGGCTCTCCCCGCTGCCCCCAGCCCCTGAACAGGAGGGCAAGAGGTGGTCACCTCTTGGAGCAGGAGGTGGCTGCCCAGCGTCCCTGTGGACCTCCTGCCTGCAGGTGCCCGGGAGGGTATTGCAGCCCCGGGAGCTGTGCAGGGCCCCAAGTGGGTGCAGAAGCCCAGCTCTGGGTGGGGCGGAGCGTGCCCATGTGCCTGGCTGTGTCCTCCAGGCCTGTGTCCAGGGACACAGGAGCAGTGGCCCAAGCCAGGCCTGCTCCCGCCACCTGCTCACGTCCCAGATCCCAGAGGGAGCGGTGCCGCGTGCCACTGTCAAGGACTTTCCTCCCGCCATCAGCCCACTTCACTCCCTTTTGAAACCGTGTCATTGCTGCCTGATTGTAATGGCATATTTTAAAATTACCAGAAATCAAAGGCGGGAAGTGGATACTGCGGCTCTGAGGGCCTCGATGGCGATCGGGGAGGGGGGAGGCTCCCCTCCCCTCCCCCACGCCACCCCCCACTCTCTCTTTCTCTCTTTTTTTTTTTTTTTTTGAGACAGTAATAGGAGAAAATTGGTTTTGAAACTGAATAAAAGTCCCTTTCAGAGGAAATCATTTCTTTCAGGGTACCTTGGCTGAAAGTAAAATAGAACATAATGAAAGGTGGTTACTGATTGTCTTTCACGTACCAAGAGGCCGGGGACAGACGGAGGCTGCCACCGTCTCGGGGAAATACAAGATTGGAATAATTGCGCCCTAACAAGGAGCTTGTTGTGAAATTAGTATCTTAAGAAAGTGGCGAGAAAAGGCTTCTCCTCATGAATACTTCATTATTAGAAGAAAGCGGCGGGATTTGGGCTCAGACACCTGTTTAGTATTAAATAACTCCCCTCTCTCCTGTGGCGCCCCCTCCCCTCCTTTCCTTCTCTTTTCAAACCAACATGAGGTTGGAGGTGACCTGGCCCAGCTGCTGGGGACCTAGCCCGGGAAGGGATGGCCTGTCTGGGTGGCCCTTAGGGGTGTCCTAGGTTGAGCTCACACCTGGACCCGCCTTCTCCACAGCAGGGAGGGAGGACGGGGCCTGACAGGAAAACGTCCACCTCTCCTGGTGGCCTACCAGGCAGGCCTGTCCACACCCCACTCCTCAGGGACTCCTGGGAATGTGCCTCGCCTCCAGTGTCCAGTGTCCAGCCACATCTGGCTGCCACCTTCTGGGTAAAGACTGCCTGGCAGAGCAGGGCTGCCGAGGGTGACCCTTTCCTTCCCGTTGGGGTGAGGCCCTCTGGCAGAGGGTGACAGAGATTGGGCTCAGAGCAGCCTTGGGGGCCTGTGGAGCCACCAGGTACCCCCCAGCCTCTAACATCCCGGGATCTCCACTCCGGTGGCCCTGGGAGAATCCCCCAGGTAGGGACCAGACCAACACTTGAACCAAGTGGGACGGTGAGAGGCCCCTGGGGTTTCCTGGGCAGCCCTGTGTAGATTCCAAAGATGAGCAGATGGAGGGAGCGTCCCTCCCCTGGGTCAGCGGATACTCAGGGTCACGTGCAGCTGAGTTCCACCACCATCCAGGACAGGACAGCCTGCCTTGGGACACACAGGGCAAGGATCTGCCCCATCTCTGGGGCTGTCAGGGCAGCCGGCTAGAGGAGGGGACCTGCAGAGGCACATCTGCCTCGTCCTGGAGGGAGACCACCACTCAGGAGGCAGGGTGCTTTGTGTCAGCCTGTGAGGCCGCAGGAGAGCTTCCAGGTGCGCAGCCTGGTCTCACTTGCCTCTGGGGAAGGGATGTCTGCACGGTCTTACGGTCTCCACCGTCTTGCAGGATGCTGGGAGGGTGGTGGAGGTGGGCGTGGGGTGGTCCTCCAATGACAAGCACCTCGTCTCCCTCCCCACAGGGACCCTGCTGCAGAGCGCACCCGGCGAGGACCCCGGCACAGCCATGCTGGCGTGTCTGCAGAGGACCCAGAACCCTCCCGGCCAACACCTGGCCTGCCCAAGCAGGAGCCTGGAGCTGCGCAAGTGTGAGTGTCCTCGCCCAGCCTCCGCGCCCTCTTCCTCGCCTGCTCTGTGTCCACGGGCTTGCTTTCTGTTCCTCAGGCTTCCATGAAGCAGGTCCTGGCCTAGGAACGTCATTTGCACCCCTGATGCCAGCCAACTCCATCTTTTTGGGGATTGAATTCAGGGGCGATCGACCCCTGAGCCACGTCCCCAGCCCTACTTTGCATTTTATTTAGAGACAGGGTCTCCTGAGTTGCTTAGTGCCCCGCTGTTGCTGAGGCTGGCTTTGAACCGGTGATCTTCCTGCCTCAGCCTCCCGAGCTGCCGGGATGACAGGAATGAGCCACTGTGCCCATTACCCAACCCCATCTTAAAGCCTGTGTGTTCTCTGAGGCCTCTCAGCCTTTGCCCATGCTCTGCTGTCCCCTGTGGGGGGTCTCCCTCCCCACGGTGACACCCACTCCCTGTCTGGCTGACTCCCACGGGGCACGGCCTAATCTCCTTCCCTGAAGACTCTCTTCCCTGCACCTGCACCGAGGCCCAACCTCGCTCTGGGACCCACCGCCCAGCACGTCTGTGTGGCTCTCTCTCATTTTCCTGCATTAACTGAAGGTAGCACAGCAATGCAGCCAGAATCATCCTAGACAGGAGCCCGGCCCCGGGCCTCGAGCATGTCCTTTCCCTGGGTCTTGCTTTGTCAATGTAGCAAATTAGGGAGCTGGACGTAGTGACCTTTGGGGGTCTGTCCTCCTTGACCATTGAGCACCAGGTTACTAAACTCTCTGACAATTTTTAGCCTCCACAGGGTTTTGGGTTTTTGTTTTTTTTTTAATTTTTGAAGTACCTGGAAACAATTCAAAACAGGGAGATTTGCATAAAGAGCTGGATTTCTAGTGTTTCCTGAAAAACATCAGAGGATCTGGTAACAGGCCTGTGCAGCTGCTGGTTAGAGCTCAGCTGCTGCCTCTTCCAAGGCGCCATTCATCTCTAGCCTGCCACAGTCCCCACCACGCCCTATCGCTTCTCCTGGAGCTAGAATCGGTTGCCACATGACGCTTTACATTTTTCTTGTACTTGCTCATCTCTAGACGAGGTGGCCTTCTTGTCCAGTATTCACAAGGAAGGAAGGGTGTGCAGACAGAGCTTCCCTCTGCCAGAGGTGGCCAGTGCCATCAGCTTCCTGCGTGACCTCCCAGATGTGCTGTGTCCCAGCATGTGTGTGCGTGAATGTTTTACACATCATCTTGCATCCTGCTTCTTTTTTTTTAAATTGTCTTTTTCAGTTGTAGATGAACACAATACTGAGGTGTCACAACTCCGTGGTTTTTAGTATGCATCGAATGGTGCACCATCACCACTATTTTAGAACATTTTCATGACAAGAAGAAACTCCATGCCCATGGACAGTTCCCCTTGTCCCCCACCTGCCCCCTCTTCCTCGACAGATTTCCCAATTCTGAACTCAGATTGTCTGTGGTCTTTTTGGCTCCTGGCTTCTTTCACTTAGGGTGATGTTTTTAAGACTCACCCAGGTTGTAGTGGGCATATAATATATGTTTTTAAAATTATCTATTTATTTTATGTGGTGCTGAGGATCGCCCAGGGATTCACATGTGCTAGGTGAGTGCTCTACCGCTGAGCCCCAGCCCCAGCCCTATAATACATTATAATATACGGTGGAGCTTGTTGCTCCCTGTTATTCCCACCTCCGAATCTCCTGCTGTATTTATTTTCCCATCTAGACTATGGAATCCATTTATAGAGCAAAAACAAAAATCCTGTTTTTTACTGGTATTACATTATACTTACAGATGAATCTGGGAGGAAATGTCCATTTTACAAGGCCATCTTTTCCTCCAAGAATGTGCTACGCCTTTCAGTTTTATTTGGAATTCCTTTTGATGTTTGCCTCATTTAGATCTTGTACATTTTCTGGTTATGTTCACTTCTGCATAGGTTTAGCTTTTTTTGATTAATTTTCTTCTTCCATAAGTGGAGGCTGTTTCTAGGAAGGCTGTTAACTTCTGCCACTTTACTGAATTCTTTTTATTGTTTATAATGGCTTTTCAATTTCGTCTCTGGGGTTTTCAGGGTATCACTGCAAATGGTAAATTTGCCTACTACTTTGTTCTATCCCTTCATTTCTTTGTTTTATTTCATAGAGTTGGCTGTTGCCCCTGGAACAGTGAAAGTAATGGTGGTAATGGACATTCTTACTTTGAAGTTCTAGATATGTCTCCATTGAGGAAATGTAACTTTGGGCAGGTATTTTATTGGATGAAGTAAGTCTTCATCTAGTCCTGTTAAGGTGTATTAAAATCAAAAGCATATGTTGAACTTTGCCAAATGATTTTTTCATTTTATGAAAATGAACATGCGGTTTCTTTAAACTATTAATACAAAGGACACTATTAGAGTTTTTCATATTGAACCATCCTTGCATTCCTGGTTGAACTCCACTTGGTCATGGGACCTTTATTATTATTATTATTTTATAAAATACTTGCTGGGTTGGGTTTGTTATTTTACACAGACTTTTGCTTCAGTTTCATCAGAGATTGTTATTTTTCTAAAATGATTTTTTGTTGGGTTCTGCTGTCTGCAGTCTTTTCCCTGTGCTTTGGGACAACTTGAATAGACATGAGATGATCTGTTCTTTAAAGGTTGGTTGGTTCCCCCATGAAACTGTCTGGAGTATTGCATTTATTTCTGGTGGGTTGGTAGCTCCTTGATGATGTCTTCTATTTCTTCTGCGATAATTGGTTAGTTTCAGTTGTCCTACTGCCTCTTGAATGAATTTGGTAAATTATGTTTGTCTTAAAAACTACCCATTTTACTCAGGTATGTATGTGGGTATGCATGTATGTCTTTTTGCAGTCCTAGGGATTGAACCCAGTCCCTTGCACATGCTACTTCTAAACTACATCCCCAGCCCTTTTTATTTTGCGACAAGGTCTCACTAAGTTGCCCAGGCTGGCCTGGGGCTTGCAATCCTCCTGTCTCAGCCTCCCCAGTAGCTGGGATTATGGACGTGCACCACCATTCCCCACTCAGGTTTTCAAATTTGTTTGCATGAGACTAAATAAAGTAATTTTTTTTTCCAGTTCTTTCAAGTGGCGATTTTTACCCTTCTCTCTTTCGTTCTTTCTTATTTTCAGTACTGGGCAAGCCCTTTACCACTGGGCCACATCCCCAGCTCCATCTTAATTCCTTTATTGTGTATTTTGTGCTTTGTTCTCATTTTTCTTGATTGGGTTAGTTAGATAATGATATTATCCATATCCCTTCCCCAAAGATCCATCTTCAGGATTTTTTTTTTTTTAGTAATTATCTTTTTCTGGTTTTTAATTCATAAATTTATACTTTTAGCTCATTTAAGACTTTCCTTCTGTTTTCTTTTAAATTTTGTTAAGTTACTTAAATCTTTATACTTATAAACAGAAAAGAACAAAACAGGAACCTGATCAAGGCTGTCTCTGAGCACTTTGGCCATGCCCTGTAGGTTCTCATATGTGATGTTTTCAATTTCATCATTTTCTAGATACTTCAACATTTTGGTTTAAGACTCATTTGAGCCCCACACGTCTGTTTAGGTAGTAGATGCTTTTCAATGTTTCTGATTTCTAGCATTTTATTTTATTTTGCATTATGAACAAAGAATCTTATCTATTTCTGCTTGTTTGGAACTTTATGGAAGTTTTCTGTGTGACATAATCTACAGTAATTTTTGTGTATCACATGGATTTTTTTTTTTAAATGGGGACTTAAAAAGAGGTGTGGCCCTGCTTTGGGGATTCAGAGTTTGGTATCTACCGATTATATGCACCCCAGTAATCCTGTTTATCAGGTCTTTGGAATCTCCCCCATCATGGATGAAGAAGGAATCAGACACCTTCTGCTAATGTGTTCCAGTCTGGTTCTTGTATCACCTGCAGCTTTGGCCTTATGAGTGATGATAAGTGTTATTTAGTGCTTAACTATCAGGGCCTTAAATCCATAGGGTATTTTATGCTTTTTGCTCTGGATTCAGTATTATCCATTAAAATGGCAACCTGGCCAGGTGTGGTGCTGTAGGCCTGTAACCCCAGCTACTCAGTAGGCTGAGACAGGAGGAGAGCAAGTTTGGGGCCAGGATTGGCAACTTGGTGAGACCCTGCCTCAAAATAAAAAATGAAAAGGGGGATGGGGATGTAGCTCAGTGGTGGAGCACCTCTGGGTTCAATCCCTGGTACTAAAGGCGGAAAAAAAAAATAGGAACCTCTACTGTTTTATTACATTTTTCTTGAAATCCTTGCCAATCCTTTTATCTCAGCCTTTCTGAATTAAGTGTGACTTGTGTACTATAGAGTGGGATTCAGCTTTGTGATCCAATCTAAGTACCTTTTCCCCCTTTTTTATATACATGTTTTATTTTTTAGGTGTAGATGGACACAACACAATGCCTTTATTTTTATGTGGTGCCGAGGATCGAACCTGGGTCCCGTCTGTGCTGGGCGAGCGCTCTACCGCTGAGACACAATCCCAGCCCTTTTCCCCCTTTTAATAGGAGAGTTTAGCCCATTTACATTTATTGCTATGACAGATGTCTGATCCTAAGTCAATCATCATGTACTTTGAGTTTAGAAGCCTCTCACTTGGTGATCTGGTTTCATGTACCTCCTCGCCATAGGGCAGGTTGGTGCTTTTGCTCTGGTAGCGTGATTTTAAATAACTTTCTCTGAGACAAACAAAATGATGAAATCAGTGTCCTCCATTTTCCTCTTGACTTTGTGTTTTTAAACCTCTGTTACCTGACATCAGCTTGAAAGGATCCCTTTTGATCCTGGCTGCTAAAGATGAAGGTATCATCTACTTTACCATCCCCCTGGTGACCCGGCCTTTCCCTTTGATGTCAGTGATGCCATTACTTAGAAAGTGGGCAGTTGGCTACATCCCCACATCTACCTCCATCTCAGTCTCCTTGATAAATAAGCTCAGTGCTTGCCACGGCTCCATGTTACATCCTGTCGTTCCAAGTGGGCCC